AAGACACCATTACTGAGAAGTTGGTTAAGCCTCATTATGACACACATGTTCCATAATCAAGAATGGTCCTATCCACCCAACCTGGTTCAATCCACCCAAGCATGATTGCAAATGGACGTTCTGGACGTGATCAAAGCTGAAGATTGGCCAGCATCTAGTCTCGATCTGAATCCTCTGCTCTATATACGCTACACCATTTAAATTATACAATGGATTTAAATGCAGTTTAACAACAGATAGAGTGACTCATAAGGAACGTTCATATATGCGTATTATAATATAAAACAAGTCGTGAAATTCAAAGACTTGTAAAGCATCCGTGCAAAACCGGGCTAAAAACTAGTTAATAATAATTGTGATAGTAGATCTTATCACGTACCTCTTATGACTTAGACTAAACTGGTGGTCCCACCTGGCTGTATCTGGCATACATAACGGTCTCCCGCACTTACTGGCCTTGTCCTAATGACCAAAGTTTTCAGTGTTACCAACTTAATATACACGAAATTGCCTTAACAGGTATACCGGGCTGTTTAATGGCATATGTGGATTTTAAGTATATCGATTTGAAACTTCCAAGTTTCATGCTACATATTCATTTCTGTGTATCGATATTTGTGCAGAGAAATAACAATTGTGGTTGTCTGTCACATCTCTAGCGTAAATATACGTATTCGTAAATAATGTATCAGGTTGGATGCTTGGAATAATAAACTTTTGTAAAATATAGAAATAAAATAATATGATTAAATTCATGTAATATTGTATTTGCTATGTTTTGTTGTATTTGTAACTGTGAGGACACGGTTTGTATGAATGAAAATCTTACAGAAAAGTGATAAATTTGGATTTGAAATATCCTTATTAATACTATAAGTACGAAGATCTCTGTCTGTCGTCTATCAAAACTACGAAATCTATTTTAATGAAATTTGGTACACAGATAGTCTGTTCTCTGAGAAAGTACATAAGCTACTTTTTAATGCGAAAAAGGGGTTGTAAGGAGTTTAAAGGGGAGAATTAAACGTACAATGGAAGTATTTCTATGTTTAAGGCTAGAAGATTGAAGCTTATAGCCTTAAAAATAGAAATACTTCCATTTTTAAGGCTAATCTGGTCTGCTCTAATCACTATGACTTATTTTCTCTTATTAATTGTTTAACCAGTTGTTGTGTATTGAATGTTTTTTCTATTTTATTATTTTATTGAATTAGTACTAATCGGTGTGTATTCACACAATTAAACATAAATTGTAAGTAAGAATAAATTATTTAAAAGAGCAACACACAAGTTTCTTGCTTGTTCTTCTTGTGATGAGACAGCATTCCGATTGAGCGGTAGATTAAAAAAAAAATATGACTATTCAAAAGTGCTTCAATGTAAGTTTATTTGAATAAATGATTTTCTATTCTATTATTTTTTGGACTATTAATTATTTGTAAATAAATATGACATACAAACTTCGCAAAAATTATGCCCTTAAGATGATTAAATAAGACAATGATACTTTGTACGGAATTTCGTTATTTATATTTCGTTCGTTATGGATGAAAATTTTCTTTGACTTTTTTTGGGTTAGTTTATTAAATATATTATATATATTTATTCGTATATGGCATCTGTGTATTTATTTGTAAAATAATTAGAATAAATAAATAATTAAAAATGCTATCCAAGGATCCACTATTCGATGCAGACAAAGTCGCGGACACAACTAGTAATAATATACGATGAAAAACATGATTTAAACAATGATATTTGTAAGTAAGAAATAGTGAAATAATAGGATCCAGCTAAAGCAACCTGTATTGACGATGCAGTGAAATTTCCCAGTAACTTCCGCCACCAGCCGGCGAAGTGCTGGAATAATATTTCTCATCCGATACGAAGTGAATTTTATTGTGGTATTTACCGCTGTGAAGGGAAGCTGTATGAAGAAAGTGGTTATTCACTCTACTCGTATTCTATCAAATTTGAATTTAGAAATGAATGTGTATTGTAAATATATACAACTATGTTTGAAAAGAATAGAAGCTGAGTTTCTTGTCAGTTCTTTCCATCTCGAAAGCATTCAGAACTGACGGTAGATTAGGCATATTACAAGAATCTGTAATAGACTTACACGACTAATGATATTTTATTGTGAATTGATTAGTTGCATTGAAACACTTTCCTCTACCTGGCATATTTATATTACTATATTATTATATTACGAGAGGCCTCTTGAAACTATATAAAACAATAGTAATTGACAGCCTCTATGGTCTAGCGGTTTAGCACACCGCCTTGCTTCCGATGGTCGCGGGTTCGATTCCTCACTAGTGATAACATTAGTAATATTTATTTGCACAATTACGGTTTTCATGAGATACATACTTGCAGATTTAGATCGTTAAAAAAACGGGATGAGAAATTGAAGAAACTGCCCAGCAAACGTTGTTTTGGCATATAAATTAAAGTACTGATATCGCTATTAAAAAATAGATGTTGATGGTAGAAGGGTGAAAATTAAGGGTTATATGTATTTTTAATGTCATGTTATAAAATATAAAATTTAAAATGTCCAATAAATAGAAAAGTAATATTAGGGGTGGACAACCCTTATCACTCAGGGGTATGAAAAATAGATAGTAGCTGATTCTCAGACCTGCTGAATATGCATATAAAATTTCATAAAAATCTGTCAAGCCGTATTGGGGGACTATTGTGACTGACATTGTGACAATGTTATGTATGTATGTATAAGATGAGAATATTATGTATAAAATGTAATCTGTTGTCTACATTTACATGATTCTCTGCACTAGACATGCTTTATTTTATTTATTTATTTAAACCTTCATCAGTATACAGTTTATGCGTTATACTGTCCTGACTCCCAATCTAGCGAGAGCTGTATATCAGGAGTCAGTTCCTTCCCAAAACAAGGATAACAATTTTAATTTACATATAGCTTGTATAGTATAGTATTAAGTCCATCAAACATATTGTATTACCTTTTGTAAGCATTGAAGTTAACAAAAAAGTATTTCCTAGTAATCACAACATACCAAAAATTATGTTTTTGTATAATACTTTAATCTATTATATATATAATATATGATTCCGATAAAATTTTTATAAAAGGACACATTTAACTTATAAAATAAACGCGTACAATGGCGGACTTATCCCGAAAGAGCGATTTCATCCAATCAACTTTTGAATGACTGAACGGAATTGTAGAGTCGTGGAAACAGGTACATAAATAACATGCATCACAGTGTAATATATACAATACACACAGTAGAAAGGAAAATATTTATATTAGAATATTATTTTTTTTGAGTTGAAACATACTCGAATTGAAATATTGCATGTGAAAATTAGAGTACATAGAAACTATTGTATTTTATTATGCTAGCTCGGTTTTCAATTCATAGATTATAAAATGTATATATACTCGGGAGCGGGTGCTGCTATGTGGGGACTGGTTCAGATCGCGAACACTGATTAGATTTTTTGTTTTTTGCAATAGCATATGCTGGTGGTTACTCTATTTTCCCAAATTTAAATTTAAATGACTCTGTATTATTGTAAACATGTATAACATTTATTTGAAAAATCTCGAAATCATTCCGAATTAACCGATGATATGTTAAATCTACGACATATCATAAGAGTCTAATAAACTTATGTGCACAAAGTTATTTTGAATTTTTTTTTAATTTGTATGGTCACATTTAAGAGATAATCAAGATAAGGAAAAAAAGAAAAGGTAAATTTTCTTATTTTAAGTTAGTTATTAAAAGGTATCTCGATTTGGCAGAAATATCGTCCATTTCTGTTGTGTATAAATAGCTAGTCCGGAAATAAATAAAATACATTAATTTAAAAATATAGAACAGTATTTGAAGAAAATTACAATATTATGTAAAAAAATTAGGAACGCAACAATTATACTATTATTATTTATATATTTCAGGAAACTAGGCCCATGTTATAAATACTTTATAGACGTATGAAATAATATTATGCCAGATAGGTTTTATATTGTAAGTAGGTTATATAATATGTGATATTTAAGAGATCATCAAGAATAAATACTAACAAATAATAAATAAAGAATAAATAATCATTCTTATTTTAAATTATTTAATACAGCATTTATGATTATACATTTATGATGTTAATAAATAGCTAATTCTTAAAATAACTAAACTAAAGTATATAAAATAAGGAACGTTCTTTTTTTTAAATATTGTGAGTAAAAAGTATAAAATATATCATTTATTCAATTATACCAGCTAGTTTTTAAGGTGTAAGTAGGTTATATAATATGAGTTACTTGAAGCATAATCAAGAATAAATCCTGGCACTAAAAGGGTTAACCATTCCTATTTCAAATTAATTAAAAAGTTTTAGCGAGGATATTTTTTCTATTTATGCTGTCAATAAATAGCCAATTAAAAAAAGAATACAGTATTTTGAATTTAAAAATGGAAGAGCTTTTAAAGAATACTATCATTAAAATATTATATGTAAAAAGTAAAAAATTGTAGCAATTATTTAGTTATGTCAGTTACTTTTTATTATTACTAGTTAATATAGTTTACAGATTATGATAATTTTTAGAATATTTATAGATTAATTGTCTACTACAAATATGAATAGAAAAAGTCTTTATTCAAATAAATTATAATATTATAAAAAATAATATAAGGACATTATCATACATTTTTTATGGTAAAGTATTGTATAAATTTCTCTGTTTAGTCTAAAAGTGAAAAGATGTAATTTAGTTTCTGGATTAAAGTTTTTTTTTAATTTGATCGTTTAATTTTGCTTTTTAATTAAACGATCAAAATGTTTTAGATTTTAAAAATAGAACAGTAGTCGAAATGTACTTTCATTAAAATATTGCATGCAAAAAGTATACGTAGCAAGTCCGACCTCACACCGCGCAGACTAAATCGTAGCTGCTCGTACTACAGAATTCAGTGAGCTACGAAACGCTACACGGTACAGTCGTGTGCCAACGACGCCGTTATTAAAATCGCGAAATATCCGGACTATAAATATTAACATTCATTGCGATTCAAACCAAAATCATTATATGGGATATATCCCTATGCGTGCCTGCAATGAAATATTTAAGTTTAAAAACAAATTGCGAAAAGTCTACATTGTTTAGAAACGTGATGGTTTGTTCTATACATTTGTTTTAAATTGTTTCTCGATTTGTGAATAATTGTTTCTTGTGTTGTGATACGTGGATTTCAATTTTTTGTAGAAACAAAATGCATTAACTGCAAAAAAATTTTGTAGCATATCCCCATTGGCTTAAAATCAAATCATGACTAAATTTTGTACGTTATGTACACTACAACCGATCGTTAAAATAAAAAAAAAACGAGCTACCACTAAAATAAAATAGAATATTATTGACCCGAAATATTCATATTTAATTTCATACATATATATAGGCTTTTACTGTAAACAAATATAATATTTTTAATGCAGTTAATAAAATATTATTTTGTATTTTTAGTTGTAATATTGTAAATTACTTTCGCTTGAAACTCAAATTAATTCCGTACTTATATTTTAGAGCATTATTAAATTTAAATTCTTTATAATTACAATTTTTAGTTAATATATTTAAATGAATAATACTCATAACATAACACTAAGAAATAAGTATAGGTAAAAAATTATTGCTATCGACTGTAAATCCTTTGTTTAAGTAAAATATAATCAAAGGAAGTAGACAAAGCATATTTGAGAGCACTTAAGTGGATATTATATTATCTGAGATATTGGATCAAAGTTCCAGATTTTTCAATTTTGAGACTACTGGTGCGTTTTAATTTTATTCCAATTTTTTTTAAAGCTGAAGCATAATGTTTGAAATCAATTCGTTTATTTCCTGTATCTGCATTAAAAAAAACTATTGTTACCTCTTTATTCTTTTTCTTTTTACATTTATTTAGTTTTATTGCAAAACCTATATCTACCTTTTTAAGAAAATTATGTTTCAATTTAAAAGTGTAAACAACGATTATTTATTAGAGCAACACACAAATTAATTGCTCATTCTTCTTATGAGGAGATGACTTTCCTAATGAGCGGTAAATTAAAAAAATTGTGATGACTATTCAAAAGTGTTTAAATTAAATTTATTTGAACAAAGGATTTTCTATTATATTCAATTACGACTGAATCGTAACCTTCAATGCGCACATAGAAACCATCTTAGTGACATTATTTATAATTTACTATTTCTTGGTCGTCATATTTATAGTTATATATATGTACATATATATAACTGCACCCAATTATTTTAATGTTTATAAAATACTAGTTTTCATTAGCTACTGTGTCCATGTAAATATATCTTCATTGATTGGTATAAAAAAGTCGAGTCCTTCCACTTCCCAAAACGGTTAGGTCTTAAAAGTAACAAACAAACAGAATAATTAACTATTATAATATTAATAACAATAAGGAATAGCCACTTGTTAATAATTGATAACAATATTATTACTAAACTGATAAAGTTGTGAAACAAATTAAGATTAACTCATAAACAAGAAACATATTTGATAATTCTATACAATTTTAATAGAACATAAAAAATGCATTGTTCCTACGCAAGAAAGTTGTAAAATAAAGTTTTACTCGTAAATAACTAAAAGTTTAAAAGATATTAACTATTTTTTAATTGAACATAAACAATACAATGTGGTTGTTACAACACCAAGATGGTAGTAACTAAATTAAGTTTTAATTAAGAAAAATAAATAGAAATAAAATAATCTCTATACAATGAAACTTAATGTAAGTAAATTTAAATAGTCACATTTTTTATTCTACCACTCATTTGGATGCAGTTTCATCACGAGAATGAGCAATAAACTTGTTAGTTGCTCTTTTAAATAAATAAGTAAAGGCAAATAAAAGAATAACATTCTAAATATTTATTAAGAAAATATAAAAAATACAATGTGATTATTGTTAACAGTGCTGTTTGGATCAAACACTCCAATTAAACCTGGTCCTCAATAAACAAGACGTGGATGGGTTCATTTTAATTGACAAATAATTGCAACAAATTGTTTGACCTTAAAAATGTAATTAATTATTTATTTTTATAATTTAAAATGTTATGCTGAATAATAAAATAAATAAGACGAAATTAATTTATCGTGTTTCGTAGAATTGAGCTGGTTCTTTCCTTTCTACTTATATTATAAGATATTTTGACTGTTTTAAAATATATAAATGTATCATTTGTTTTATTGACTTTCTCTTGAACATTGATGGAAACTAATGGTCAGTTATCACCTGTAAAGTCAGTACGTTGAATAATAATTTCAAACCAAGATCGGAAACTATTATTAATTTAATAAAATTAGCATTAAAGAAGTACACTTTGATTTCGTATTTATTTGTGTTATAATTGGTTTACTTTGGTGGTCTAAGATCTTGATAAGTTTTAATAATGACAACATATATATGTTAGTTATATATAATATGTAGATTTATCTAGTAAAAAGATAAAAGTAATAAATATAAATCTAACAGGCTATACTCTGGGGATGTAAAGTGTTAGATTATACATATATATATATACGTCTTTCCTTATTTGTTATTCACGAAAATTATAAGTTGAATATATATTACGGAAAGAATTCTAAAATCATATAACTATTATAGACTTACAAATAACAGTATATTAATTCAATCTAAAATGTATATATAAATTAATATGGTGGCGTTGTGATAAATAATTTGTTGCAATAATTATTATATAAATAAATAGAACAGTATTAGGATTAGAATAGAAATTAATCTGGCATTTTTTCCAAGTCTATTAATATTTACCGATTAAACAGACAAAGTTAATTATTTTGCTGGATTAAATAAAGAAAAATGAAATATATTTACTCATGAATAGTAAATAAATAGTAAACAAAATACAATTTCAAGTAACAGTGACGTAGACCGAGAAATAAAACATGTACAGTGAAGTTAATGATCAGAGGAAACGACTTTATTTGAATGAACATGTACTGTTTTGGGTGATGTAGGGTGAATTGTTCATGAGGACGGTATGGGGGTCGAGAGAACTTGTTTCTGGTCTATGCTGCAAGCGTTGGTGCTCCTACCCACGTTTGCTGTCAAAGGTGAGTATATTTTTTTTTTATGTAACTGGAAAACAGTGTAGGTGCCGTATCTTTCTAACTGAATAAAAAGTTTCAAATAACGATAATATTTATATGCGTGATAATGGAATGAGTGTACCCGTTTGTGCTAACAGTATAAGCTGGTGGAGCACTAGTGGTGGATGATAGGATGAGACTGATGAAATCAGAGTCTTTATATTTTACAGGGAGGATCGCATGGGGGTGTGCATTGCTAGCAATGGGGCCACTAGTCTCCTAACCTAAATTACGTAGTAGAAGAAGATATTATATTCTTCTATTACGTAATGAGCTCATTAACAGAGCTTGTTAATGTACATAGGTATTTACACCAATATAAACAATCATATATTTGTCTCACATGAAAATCAATGAAAGGCGCGATGTTACCTCTAAACGACAATGGCCAAGGAGTAATTAATAATAATAACTATTATTTACAAAAAGAATCATTAAATCGGAACACATAAAAAGTTTGATATATCTACCTACACTTGAACACTGTCTGTTAATCTTATTAATATTATAAACGTTAAAGTACATAAACTTTAACGTTTATAATATATGGATGGAAATTTGGTACTCTATCATTCAAAAACTACTGAAGGTATTTGGATGAAACTTTATAGTAATATAGTTTAGGTATACATCAGAATAACATATCACGCGAGTGAAACCGCAGGTACAGCTAATACTATATGTATCGCTGTGTCACATTATTTATACTTGTGTCTACATTATAAATCTGTCGGAAAACCTTCAAGTTAATTGGAAAATATTTGATGGACAAAAATAGGAAACCACATCGGAAGTCATTTGTTGAATATCAACACGCAATACTGAGCGATTATCTATAATATTTATGAAGTTTTTAAGCTTATTAAATCTTCACCTGTTATTATGAGTTCAATGTAAAATACTTTTAGCTTGGATTGAAAAAAAAGAACAATCTTTGACTCAGACTTAATAATGTTATAGAGAATGAGCACGGCTTACCCTCAAAATATAGGATTTTTCCTATTTAGAGAGCACGGTTTCAACTTATTTTTTAAGGATAAAATTAAACATTATATAAAAAAAATAATAAATATATGAAACCTACCACTTTCTGTCTTCTTTCCTCTACTTAAAGGATGGCACCTTATTATTACTGTAGGAATATGTTATTTATAATTTACTTCTGGCGCATTAAAGAGTAAATAACTAAATTAATTAGCTAAGGTGGGTAGCTTAGTCTTATGTATTACAAACATTTGTATGAATACAACTTACTCGGTCGTCGGTCGTCAGTCGTCGGTCGGTGGTCTAGCAGTTTAGATTGACCCCAGATGGTCGCGGGTTCGATTCCACGCATGGCACAAATATTTGTTTTTATGAGTATGATTGTTTGTATCGGTCTGAGTGTTTTCTATGTATAATAATGTATGTATTTACAAAAATAAATATATATCTACGTATTTGTATCCAGTACCCATAACACAAGCTTATTATCGCTTAGGCGACGGTTATCACTTATCATCAGCTTATTTACCATTCCAGAAATATAAAAAAAGGTTTCATAATTTTAATAGTAAATTAATTATTATAATTAAATAAAGAAACTAATTAAATTTTTGTTACGTATATTCATTTTAGTTAGTTAATTTAACCGGGCGTTTCCGCACACAGCGTTGTGTGCGGGCCAGTCAAACAATTAAATTTGCATAACCTATTATGATGTAATCATGACTGACTTCAGTATTTATTTCCTCAGTTCTTTCTTTTTTGTCGCTTTTAATTAAGAAATTTTAGAAGTGAAATGAAGAAAATTAAATGATTGTTCGTTTAATTAGATGTTTAATTAAGTAAGTGCCTATTATGGATATATCTATTTCTGCACCAAGTGTTAGTCACTAACAAAATATTTCCTATTTCTTACAGTTTTTCATTCATGGAGGATAATGGAAAGATGGCTTGCTAGTAATGGGGTTATTATTTCATATTACTAGTAATCCACATGCATGAGAGTTAATGACTGTGTTTTGTCATGAGTATCAAGTGTTGTCTAATGGTAGCGCCTACGATGTACCTACGTGAAAAAAGATTAAAAAAGTGAATAAATGGATTTGTCTGCTCATAATAATTGTTTAAAAAAAAAGTGCTCCGATGCTCAATAGAGTAGACGTGTTCTAGTGTGGAGACTGCGAATTGCCAAACGAAGAGTAAGACGCTCTGCAGCTATGTAGATGGAGCGACAACATACTCGTATGTAGGGTTGGTAATAACTGGAGGAGAAGAGCTTAAGATCATGTCTAGTGGCGTTCCTAGGGGAGGCCTATGTACAGTAGTGGATTGCAGTAAGTTGATGATGATAATGATGAATTATTGTATACTTCCACCGCTTTCTTCAGTCAAGCCATGACTAAGACGTTTGTAACACCGTTGAAATATCGGGAGCTCATAAATATATTAGAAAAATAAATAACCCTGGACAATTAAGACAGCGCCATCTAGTCCCAACTTGTATGATGGGCACTAGACAACTGATATAAATACTTAGATATATTACTCTAAAACATTGAAAACACCGAAACCGATACAAGCAATTGTTCTCCTGGATACAAAAGTTTGCATCATGCGAGTATTCGAACCCGCGACCGCGGAAGTAAAGGGATGTGCTGAACCGCTAGACTGCCGAGTCCATCAAATAATATGATCATGTTGAATATTACGTTTATGTAATTTGTATAAGTATCAGGCATCCGGTGTACGAGTTTGATAAACACAAATTTCTATCTGTTATATCTCGGAATCTGAAATAACGAGCTGTTTCAGCGTAATCACGCCGATACGGCATGCCGATTCCCCGCGACCTTCGTACGTGCTTCCATACTATTATTGAAATGTTCACTTCATAAGAATTATAGTCAGTATCATTTTATCATAACATGTGTAGATAATTAGATTAAATCAATATTTAGAATTTAATTTTAGTTCATGTAATTTTTTTCCCTTGGACGATTCACACAACGCCATCTAATCCCGAGCTAAGTAGAGCTTGTGTTATGGATGTTAGATAACTAATATAAATTAGATACATTTTTTTTTGTAAATACATACTTCATATACATAGAACACATTCTGACCGATACAGACACTCATGAATACAAATGTTTGTGCCGTGCCAGGAATTTAACCCGCGACCATCGGAAGTAAGGCGGTGTGCTAAACCGCTAGACAGCCGAGGCCGACGAGGTTGCTAACTAGTTTAATAAATAATAATTAATATTTTGATGTTTTTAATTTGTATATTTTTATAACAATGTGATTTTAATTGTTCAGTTAATATGTATAATAGAACGAATTTAAATGTACCACCCAAAGGTCACATATTTATTAAATATAGCATTCCAGTACATTAGTATTGTAGGGCCTGGAGCGAGCCTACACAATGTATTTTGTGTGGCACTCGACATTACCATTTGGTGACAGGTGGTAGCTGTCTCCGGTTGCTTCATGTGAATTTTCCGACATTTTTATCCTCCAGTTTAGTTTTCTTTTTATGTTAGTTGTTTTATTGTAGTTTTTAAGACTGTTCCGTTTTATGCCACGGATTATTGGCATTTTTGCGCATTATTTTAAAACAACACTCCATTCATTGTCTACCAAGAGGACTAAATTATTGGAGTCGAATTGTAATTTTATTTTTTATTTTTTTGATAATTATGAATTTGTTTATTTATTTAAATTAGGCAACATAATATAATTTATAAAACAATACATGTAATTATAATTAACAGATATTTATAATGATAAAATATACAATAAAATAATGATATTGTATTTGTAGTCACCACACTCACTATGGCAATCTGCTACGGTAGCGGCGGTATACCACTCCCTTCGGCCCTTTATTTATGTCCTTAAAGGTGCATTATTACGTTATCATTCATTAATAAAAATACATAAATATTACACAGCGAGCGTCGAACGCTACGTTTAAACAGTTTAATGTTATAATTCGTAATCGATATAAGGTATTCGATTCATTATCGATAATTTTGAAATAGCTACATTAGTGACAAAGTTTGTAATGTATTTTAAATTGTAGATTGGTGCGTGTAATAATAGAATGAGCGTGGTCTATCATTACAAACAAAAAGTTGAATATTAAGTCGACATCAGATATTAACTTAATACATTTTTGTTTTAATTAAAGGAATTTTTCAAGTCTTGTGTGTTGGAAACTGACTATCCTATCTTAAAGTATTAGATGGGACAGAAATCACAATACTTTCTGCGTCTTGCATTTTCGTAACTGATAAAAACCAAAATAAATCCTAGAGATGACAGTATTTTATTCTGAGCTCATAAGTGGGATTCATGTAGACCTAGACTAAATATGGGAATATCAAGTGTTGCGTTCGCTACTATGCCAATGTTTGGTATATTACGCGTGTATATAAACGAACTAGTCGGCTCAAAATCAGTGGTACAGCCAAAAAGTGTTACAACTAATTTGAGAGTTATTAAGAAGAATTGTAATTTTGCATGCCTCCAGAATATGAGCCGACTATTTGTAGGATCTACACTGTAAATATTCAAGCAAATAAACTATCTATAAAAATATTCTTTGGTTTCAACCAAATTTGAACTTCCGACTTTTCGATGTAAATTTTTTCGCTACCACTGGACTACGCAAATATCATTTTAATCAATGTTTGAAATGAGACAGGCGAAGTCACGAGTCAAACTAATAGATAACCAACAAGTCCGTCGCCCCGAATCTACTATCACCAGCTAAGTCACTAAATACCTGTCAAGTACTTAGTAACATAACTTGCAACTTTAAAACTTTAGTACTGATAACAAAGGGAACTAAGTTATCGGATAGCTATCAGCATCGCAACTTTGAACTTTGTTTCAAAGTTATTACAGAAGGAAATTGATTGAATTAAACTAATTTAAACATACTATGCTCTGACTAGATTTTCAAACTAAAGTAACTTACGAAGTAACTTATAATTAATGTGACCTATAACAATATTCTCTCAAATCGCATTGTAGTACGAAACAAGAAGAAAATTGTATTATTATGATTACATATATTTGTTTTAAAATAACAAATAATGTATATATAATATAGTAGATATCGATGATTTGTTCGATTCGAATTTCGGATCTTATTGGTCCAACATTTTATCTCCTTTAATTTCTATTTTGTACAAAGTCATCTGCATGGGTGTCTCTGTCTTCTGTATTTTTCGGTGTAAATATAAGATATGGCAATTCAATTACAAGATATAATAATTAATAAATAATTCTGGACTACTAAATTAGCACCATCTAGTACCACGGCAGGGCTTGTGTTATGGGTACTAGACAACTAAAATAAATACTTATTTTATATACATAAAACAACCCAGACACAAACAATATTACTCGTGAATACAAATGTTTGCACAGTGCGAGGAATCGAACTCTTGACCATCGGAAGTAATGCAGTGTGTTAAACTGACAGACCATCAAGCTCTGATTTTTATGGACATTAATTATATTAAGTTATGGTTATTAGTAAGAATTCTAATGTTATAGATACGGATATCGACGGCCTAGGTGGTCTAGCGGTCGTGGGTACAATTTCTCGCACGGTACAAACATTACAAATTCATCAATCTGATTGTTTGTATTGGTCTGGGTGTGTTTATTTCCCTTTATTTTGACATATACATTAAAGAAATATATATATAATACATTATTACTAAAAAAAACAAGACATCGAGTGTCGAAACTTAATTTAATAGTATTAACTAAAAAGATTAGCTTTGTTAACATTTAATAATATAGCTAAAAATCTATTGTACGTCCGAAATGGATAAACAGGTCATTTCCATATATGATGTAACTCAGTTATAGACAATAAATCCTTATCTTATCTTATCTTATTTATATAATGTATGAATTAAAAAAAAAAATATATTATATTACTATTAACCATACACTTCTTCTTCTTTCTTATAACATCTTAGTCCTCTGGGACGACAAAGTATGAGCAGTTTTTACGGGTTTTTAGGGACAGATGAAATAAACGAGTTATAATGCTGAAAGTATCTCAAATTACTTCTAACATTATTTAAGTTAAAAACAACATATTTGTATCACATTCATTGTTTGATTTATAAGTAAAATTTCCATATGCAAATAGTAAGTGTGCTTTCAGAAGACTGTCTAAACAGTGGCCGGCTCTAACATTCATTAACTGCGAAATTCATTATAGTTATGCTAATAGTTATTCTAGCAACTCACCGAACAGGAAATTGTATGAAAATTTTACAATTTCCCTTAAATTACTGATTGCTGAGTTCTTTTAATGGTAATATATGTAATATATACACGACGGCCTCGGTGAAGTAGAGCGTTAGGACACTGTCTTACTCCCTATGGTTGCCAGGTCGCTTCCACCACGGTAAAAATATTTGTTTTCCTAAGTATATATGTCTGTTTTGTAAAAATTGAGTGATCTATTTAAAAAAAAATGAATTTTTGAATTGTTGAATTTTGTATCAGTCTGGGTGTTTTCTATGTGTATTATGTAACTACAAAACAAAAATATATCTATGTATTTTTATCAGTTATCTAGTACTCATAAGGCAAGCTCTGATTAACTTGAGACTAGACAGCGCTGTGTGAATTGTACTGAGATATTACTATTGTTATATTATGTACTGAAATTTTGTAAATTTGAAATTTGAAATTTATAGCCTATATATTATGTTGTTCAGTCGTTTTTGCGTGAAAGAGTAACGAACATTCATTCATACTCACAAAGTTTCGCGTTTATAATGTTAATAAGATTTTATATTAGAGATTTCGTTGTTTCAGATTCACAAATCACAATGAGAATATATCCGGAAGATCCAGAGTTTCAGCGTCCCATAGGAAACCACACTTTTTCCTTAGGCAAAGAGGCAGTGCTGGGCTGCGCTGTCTCCAACCTTGGCAAGCATAAAGTAAGAGACTATTTTTTTTATACAATTAAAATGTACACATAAAGAGCATAACTGTTTTTTTTTCGGACTACTGTAATGCTGTTGCCCGCAGCTGGTCTTTACAGCTTCACCGGATGATAGGGAGCGAGTGCAGATGCTACTACAAAACCATGGCTAAAACCAACCCCCGCCTGACTGATACCATTTTAGTGTGAGGGCACGCTAGTGGTTCGTAACCTCTTAATTTCAATCCCCGTTTGAGTTGGACGGGGGATCGATACATGCCTTTTTTGTATGAGTCACTGTTCATAGGCCGCCATCTTGTGCCACATTACTTTCGAAAAACAGAAAGTGTCAAGACAACATAAATAAATTAATAAAATTCATACATTACAAATGCTACGAAATCTAAAAATATTTTTTATACTTTCGTACTACATCGATCATGTAACCGAGAAGTTTGTATGGTTATTAAAATTCTATATAAAAAAACATGAAATATTTCATGGATGTAGAACAGTTTTGCCTGCCTTCGGATGTTATTTTTTGTGTCCAAAAAAATAAATATAGTTTATAAAATATACTGCACCTATCAATATCGTTAATTGAAGTAAAAGTCTTAAACAAAATTGGAGTCAGATATTTTATTCATCTTCACCATAATATATTAAGTGTTAATATATATATATATATATATATATATATGTATGTTAATATATATATATATATACATATATATATGTATATATATATATATATCCTTACTAATATTATAAATGCGATAGTAACTAAATATCTGTCTATCTCGCTTTCACGCCAAAACTATTAAACCGATTTAAATTTAGTACACAGATAGTCTAGACTCTATGAAAGGACATTTTAATATGAAAAAGCAGTTCTAAGGGGTTGAAAGGGAAGATGAAAGGTAATATACAAGTATCGTCATTTTACGAGGACGAAGTCGCGGGCACAGCTAGTAATATGAAACATATAATTTTCCGTAATGCATTAACATTTTGTTTCGATTACCTTCAAAACTTCAGATGTATTAATACGATATTGTAAACATGCCGTAAGTACAAGTACAATGAATATTGCCCTAATGGATAGTCAAAATTAACGTCTGGTAACATTGTATGGGCTTAATGACCAATAACCTGATAGTGGTCATTACTTGGAGGTAATAGAAAACGATTTTCACTAGAGGCATTAACGACATTAGTGGGCTCGAATATTCTCGAATGCTATCCTCACATGTATTATTAAGAAGAGTAATGTTTATGTGTTCGAGATTTTATTATTATTATACCTAGAGATATTTTCAACCCTATTACGAATAGATACGGTTCTCATTCGATTCAGCTTGATTCTTCTGTGTATGTAATTATATGTCTCTGACGAATTTTGATGTTAGATTGATATTAATAATAATAATATCCTTGAACAATTCACACAGCGCCATCTAGTCTGAAGGTAAGCAGAGCTTGTGTTATGGATATTAGATAACTGATAAATACATTTTTTTGTTAAAATTTAAATACATACATAATATACGTAGAAAATTATTGTTTATATCATATTCATAAATATAAAATGTTTGTATGGTGCGAGAAATCGAACCTGCGACTATCGGAAGTAAAGAAATTTGCTAATCCGCTAGACCACGAAGCTATCAGATGATAATCTATAATAGATTATCATCTGACATTCATCAAAATAATATGTCTGTGACAGTTAAAAATTAGTTTTTAATTAACCATACATATTTGATTTAAATTTCCATTGCATAATTTTAGGTATTTTTCTTCATACAATTCAATTTAGTATCGAAAACACAACCGGCACGCCCTGCGCTCGTCGACTGAATGCCGTGGCTCACACAATGTAAGAGGATTATTCAACTACCGACCTCCGTATTTATAGACCGAAGTCAGTGTAGTAGGAACATAAGCAGGGTTAATGGATATTTTATGACAAATAACTTAGTTCGGTCTATAAATACTAGATGGCGATATTTACAATATTTGTAATAATCTTTACATTGGGTACTTCATTAGTACTAAACAGAAACTATCTTCTTTTAATATCATTTTAAAATATCGGATTTTTCTACAATATTGATGTGAACTCTAACACTAATAAACAGTGTTTTGTCGTAATGTTGACGCAGACATAGCAACTAGATAATTACAGTTCTTGAACTCTTCGACTATATTCAATTCTTCATTTGTCATTCTAATGGACACCTGAAAGTAAATAATGATCCATGATTGACATCAACAGCTACCTGTATCTTAGTAATTGACTAAGTATAATCGATGTGTATAACTTTGAAATATACACTCACATACACACATACGCATATACTGCATACTCGTTTTAAGTTGAAAAAAATATATAATTTAAATTAGATATATTTATTTATAAACCTATATATATAGTTACTAACGGCTAACGTTGTTTTGCTATATATATATTATAAATAGTGGTTGGTGATAGAAGGGTGAAAATTTTGGCTTGTATGTATTTTTTAATGCCACATAATAAAAAAATAAACATATATATAATTAAAAAATAAAAATTTATGTAGAAAAATGAAAAAAATAAATTTTACATATAAGTTATGGAGCCTCCTGGAAAAAGTATTTTTATGTTTAAAGGAGATATCAGCATCTGAATGGAGCTTAGGAAGTGTTTTGTTACCGAAATAAGGATTTTTTATTTTTTTTTAATAGATATAACTATGAATGATTAGTTTTTATGCTTGAAACGTACCGTCCATAACACAGAGGTATTTTTGTTTAAAATATTTTGGAAAAGTTGCCCTATTTTTTTTGCAGCAAAACGTTGCCAAAAGTGATAATAATAATTGAAACAAAATGATTGATAAACATGACAAACGGACAAACATAAACAGAAAAAAATCGTTGACTCGTCTTCATTAACAAACTATTATTTTTATTTTAAAAATTGAGCATATTAAAAGTTAGTAATAAAATTAGACCTATGTACACATAGTTTCTATTTTATATAACATATGTTCATCTTTATTTAGGTAACATAAAATATACTCAAATATGTATACTAATAGGATTTTGATGGGATTCAATGGGTATGTTTATTTAGGCGTGGTTTAAATTAAAGGCTGCCTTAGAATTCAAGTTATGTAGAAGTTATGTAGATTGTAACCTGAAATTTTGGATGTTTGAACTTAGTACAAAAGTGGTGTAGTGTAGTGGAAATTACAAACTAATGACACCTTTACGTAACGGTTTAACGCACCGCTTTACTTTGCTGGACGCGGGTTCGATTCCTCGCACGGTGCAAACATTTGTATTCATGAGTATGATTGTTTGTATTAGCGACAGTGTTTTCTATCTATGTTATGTATGTATTTACAAAAAAAATCTAAGTATTTATATCAGTTGTTTAGTCTCTATAACACAAGCTCTCTTTACCGTGGAACTACTTGACTTTGTGTTAATTGTCCAGGGTTATTTATTTATATAATGAAACTGTATTCATAATTTCATTCAATAAAAATCATATATTATAAATCTACATTTCTGGAACTACTTGAAAATTTACTAAAAAACAAATTTAATTGATATTTGCCAGACAAAATTGAATCTCAAATAAAATCAATACAAAAATCTCAACTTGTATAAGCGATTAGAACTACTACGTGAATAAACAATTATATTAAATTTAATTTCAATGTAGCCATTTTCTATTGTGTGCGAAAACTTTCATTTTATTTTAAGACTAGCTGCAACCGCGACTACGTCCGCGTGGAATTTAACATTATTTTTCTATAATAAAAGTCACCTAAGTTACTCCTTATAACATCAGCTATCTACCTATAAAAGTCCTCTCAAAATCGGTCCAGCCATTTCAGAGATTTATCGGAACAAACAGACAGATAGACAAAAATTATAAAAAATGTTATTTTGGTATATGTACCGTATTTACATTCATATGCATGTAGTAAAAAACGGTTATTTTAATATTACAAACAGACACTCCAATTTTATTTATATGTGTAGAGAACATACATTAACTATAATAAATAAAGAAAAAGAAAGATGGTTGCTAAGTGTAATATCATATACTTACGGCAACCACTATTAACGTATGTAATATATTATATTAAGTTTTAAAGTTGTAGATGGTTCTATTAATAATTTCAAGTCCACTATTCTTTATAAAAGTGCAATATTTTTCAGGAACATTTACAGAAAACTATGAACAAAATAATGTCCGTTGTGAAAGTGTGTTATATACTTTTACTAGCTGTGCCCGCGACTTCGTTCTCAAGTAATAGAGGACGAATGAGGAATTTCAATTTCATCCCCTATTTTTTAAAATTCGTACAAACTTTGAATGTTATATTGATAGTCAAGAGCTTAAACAATACGTTTCAAGATTCTAGTTTTAAAAATGATGATACTTTAATAGAAAGTTGCATCTCCCCTTTTAACCCCTTACAACCTTTTCTTCGCATTAAAAAGTAGCCTATGTCCTTTCTCAGGGTCTAGAATATCTGTATACCAAATTATATTGAAGTCGGTGCAGTAGTTTTAGCGTGAAAGCAAGACATATAGACAGACAGACAGATAGAGTTAATTTCACATTTATAATATTAGTAATGGATTATATCACTAGTGGTTTACCCCTTGGCTCTTTTTATGTCAATAGTGTGACAAAAGTTAACGGTCTACTTAGTGGTAAGTGGTAACAGTCGCTCCATGAAGAGCGCCACGGATCATGTCATCCCTTACGCATTGTCATTAGAGAACTAACATGTTACACCTGTAATTTCACTGCCACATCTCACCCACTAACACAAACACGGTATAAAGTCTATGGCTACGCTATACGGCCAAAACTTTTGTATAGACTAACATAGTAGTCAATTATACTAGCAAGTCAGGTTGAACTCCACACGGTTCCCTCTGGAAACCATCGTGTTAAATTTTTGGTGAATTTACTATTATTGGCGAACTAACCTTATGCCATAT